CCTGGGCCGCCCGCCTCCCCTCCCGGGTGTGTGTGTTTGTGGGGGACACCCCGGGCCGCCCACCTCCCCCCTGGGTGCGGGGCGGGGGGGGCACTGAGACAGCCAGGTCCCCGGCGGGTGTTTCTCTCACTGTGATGTTCTCCTCGATGATATCCGGGTCGTCGCAGATGGACTCGATGAAAAACACCTGGGGGGGTGTGTGTTAAGGTGGGTCTGACAGTGACTGCAGAGCCCAGTGCTGCGCACTTCCCCCTTCAGTGCCCCCAGCACCCCCCCCCAGTGCTGTGCCTTACTCCCCCTGCAGTGCCCCCAGCTAGACACCGCCCCTCCCAGCGCTGCACTCTTCCCCACAGCAGTCCCCCCAGCGCTGCGAGCTTCCCCCAGCCAAGGCCCCCATAGTACTGCGGACTTCCACTGCAGCAGTGCCTTGGGCCAGACCGATGCCCCCCACACACCCGCACCCGCACTCCCTTCACCTTGTAGCCATGGTCGCCGGCGAACTGCAGGATCATGTTCCGTCGCTCCCGTGTCGTGTTGGTGGCGTCAAACACCTGAACATAGGAGCAGGCATGAGACCGGGGTAGATGGGCCCATGGGTCTGGCTGGGGGGAGGCAGGGGGAGGGGCCCTCTTACCGCGACCTGTCCCTCCTCCCGGCTCAGGTAAGTGTGGACGTCTTTCAGAGCGGCCAGAGCGCACTGCCTGGGGGCAAGGGGAGGGGAGGGGTGAGACCCTTACACATACCCCACCCCTCCCCCAGGCTGTGCTGTGAACTTCCCCCCAGCAGTGCCCCCAGGCGGAGTCACCCCCAGCGCCGTGAGCTTCCCCCCAGCAGTGCCCCCAGCCGGAGTCACCCCCAGCGCTGTGAGCTTCCCCCCAGCAGTGCCCCCAGGCGGAGTCACCCCCAGCGCCGTGAGCTTCCCCCCAGCAGTGCCCCCAGCCGGAGTCACCCCCAGCGCTGTAAGCTTCCCCCCAGCAGTGCCCCCAAGCGGGATCACCCCCAGCGCCGCAAGCTTCCCCCCAGCAGTGCCCCAGCTGGGGTCACCCCCTCACCTGCGAATGTGCATCGCCTCCTGGTTATCTGGCCGGAAGAACTCGTAGTTCTGGTAGGTCTGCACGGCCTCGCGCCGGTACTGCCCCACGTTGAACACTGCGGGGAGAGTGGAGGGGTGGGCTGGGGTCCCCGTGCCCCTCCCCACAGCTCCCTGGGATATCCTCCCCCAACAGACACCCACCCTGTCCCCACAATCGGAGACCTGCCCCCCCCCCCGCCGAGATCTCTGTCCCTGCCAGCTCCACGGACTCCAGCTGCCCTGGTCCCCCGCCCCGCCCCTCACCTCACCCTTGGTGGGGATCCCAATCCAGTTCAGGTAGTGGGTCAGCTTCTTGGAGATATAGGTCTTCCCACGGGCCGGCAGCCCCACCAGGATCACCATCGTGGGCGAATTGGTAAACTGAGGCACGGCGGCTGTTGTGTGGGGGAGAACAGACACCGTTAGCGATACGGGGCTAGAGGCCAGACCCCCAAATCAAGCTGCACCCTCATATCCCCCCACCCTGGGGTTAGAACCCCCTAGAGGAGACAGGCCCCATGCCCCACTCACACCCCCTGCGCTGGTGCAGCCGGTTGCTGGCATGCGGGATCCACACTTTCTGCAGCGGTGTCTGGGTGAGCTCCCCCACCTCCGACATCCTGCCCCCCTGGGAGCTCAGCAGGCGTCTCAGCCCCACAGGCTGCCCCTTGCCCTGGGACCAGCCGGTCCCACCCTCTGGGCAGCTTGCCGGGGGCGGGGGGAGAGACAGGACACCGAGATCACTGACCCCCCATGCTGTGTACACTGCAGATAACACTGATCCCCGCCCCCCCCCCGAACCAGCC